ATAAACAAGGTAACGTATATAGAACCTACTGACAAAATATAAACAAGGTAACGTATATAGAACCTACTGACAAAATATAAACAAGGTAACGTATATAGAACCTACTGACAAAATATAAACAAGGTAACGTATATAGAACCTACTGACAAAATATAAACAAGGTAACGTATATAGAACCTACTGACAAAATAATGTTATGAAATACAATGTTTCACATCGAGCTCCCTGACAAAGTAATCGTCTGGAATATATGGAACTTATTGGTTGAATAATATTCTGGAATATGGTGTTGTTTATCAATTTTTCTGCAAAATAATGGCTTACAATATGGTGTTATAAATGGAATCTAGTGGCAAAATAATACATAGAACCTAATGGCGAAAATAACAGTCTGAAATATAACGTTTTACGTCGAATCTACTGGCAAAATAAGTCTGAAATACGAAGATGTAAATCGAACCTATTGCCAAAATAACAGTCTGAAATATAACGTTTTACGTCGAATCTACTGGCAAAATAAGTCTGAAATACGAAGATGTAAATCGAACCTATTGCCAAAATAACAGTCTGAAACTTGGTTCTAGTAATAGCGAAACTCTAGATGACATATCCATTTCAAATATGAAGTCGTATTTTAAAGTTATTGGCGTGGATAATGAATTATATAACTTATCTTTCAACTATAAATAACGTACAGTACTCTGAGGTCAATAGCAAACACGCACAGTTTAATATGATTATGGAAAAACACCACCAAATCTAGAATAAACCTAATCGAGGACATTCTTACTTTTATATCTGTTAGAGCCTTGTAAATATACTTTTAATCAGAAGAGAACAACAAGTTTATTTTCTCGACATTAAATACACATGATATGGATACTACATACGTTACGTGTAGCCAAGATGGTTGACGATACCATCAGATCGTAAGTTGTTGTCCTGGAAACACAAGAAATTCAGTTAAGACATTAAATTGGATAATTTTTTCGTTGTTTAACAGTTATAGAATGTTAAAGTCAAAAGTAATGAATATACCAAAAAAAAAAAAAAGCACTGTGCAATTTTAATATATTGATATATAATGTGTTTTTTATAAACCTTGGGAATAAAAAACAACAAGCATTACCTATTTAAATAGCTATTGTATGGAAAGCCCATAATAATGTAATGTAAACATTCTTTGTTAATTTGTATATCAATGTATTTCAAGTTACACCAATAAATGACTTTGTTTAATGTAGTATATTGATGAAGAAAACAATGATTAGGCCTGATTCGGAAAGATTTTTCAACAGAATGTTATTGAGACATCGAGTAATCTGAAGCGTTTTGCTTTCAAAATTCAAAAAGACGTATTGTTACGTCTCTGGTCGTTTGTTAATTTCCGGTATAAATTCTTCCCGAGGAACTTCAGCGATACAAGTCCTTTCTTAAATAAAACTAGTTTATTCGTTCTCGTTACCAACTTTGGAATACACTTAATTTCCACAGTTACTTTAACTTAAACACACGCTACGATTCACTTAAACACAACGATTCACGTAATTTATTTACGGTCACTACCGCTCGCTTGACTGAACTATCTCTATCTTCAATCTCTCTATATCTATCTATCTTCAATTCTCTCTCCGCTTTATTTGCTGAGCTTATATACTAAAATAGAGGGCGCCTAGAAAAGACTAGAGTTACCAGGAACAGTCATGATCCTTCTAGAATCTCCAGCGCGCATGCTTCCAGCGTCACATGACTTCCACTGTCGTAACAGTATTATAAGAAACCAAGTAATTATAGTGTTCTTCTCGATAGTAAGATTTTGTACAACTAGTAAGCAAATCAAATATTTTTTTTAATTAATAAATTACTGTGGATACCCCAGATCTTTCGAAAAACAGCATTGAGCTCTATAGCTTCTACAGATTAACGAATATCATGAGATGTTGTTTTATAGAAATAAACTCTGAACGTTGTTGTAAAATGTCCTGGAGCCCCATTCTGTATACTATTTGACTACAACAAAACTTTCTATGTATTACTATGCAAAATACTCACACTGCAAAGTTGCTCAGAATAATTGGTAATCTTTATTATTAAATTATAAGATAAAATAACAGATAAGATATTCTTTCGTTCTATTTAGAAAAATATGGAAAAAGTAAATGTGAACAATATGTAAATAATAGCAGGTATCCTGGATTCCGTGTAGAACATTTTGAAGCTTATTTAGGTTAACGGATTTTTGTGGTATTTATATTCCTGTAGAATATCAGCACATATCCTAAATATTTTGTTAGATATCTAACAGTTTATACCTTCCACAAAACAACAGGTGTACTGAAGTAATAGAACTCAGAGAGAATGTCAAATATTTTGGTATCTTTTGAGAAAACCTTTCAAATATATCGTTCAGATCAGTATAATATATACTTTCATGGCACAAGCTATTTTTAGTTACTACATTCTGGGAAATAGTAAAGTTTTGTGCCAAAACGTTGTAACAATAGAATTTAACTATTTTGAACTTGATAATAAACGTAAAAGTTTAGATTTAAAAAAAAATCTAAACAATTTACAGAATCCTTGCACTAAATTAAGCAAATTTTATTGATCAATACTTAATTAGCCAATCAAATTTTTGTAATGTAAATCACAACAACTTCCAGGTTAAGCAACTCCTCGAGTTTGTAAAACAATACAATCATGTTGTTGTAATAAATGATTGTCAAAGTGTCAGTTATTTGTTACCATTTTGAAAATGAACGTGTTTTGAAGTGTAGTAGAAATGCAGACGCTGTATAAATAATTGTAGCGGGAACTAATGACAAATCAAGGGATTCTGATTAATATTCATCTTCTATTTTTTTAATTGCCAAAAATAGGAGAACTGTGAAAAGACACGACCATATTATTTATTGTTCTGAGAAGAAATAATTTTAGAATATTACAATATTTCTAGTTTCTCTGCATTTAAAGAAGAAATCCATCGTGTATGTATGTATCTATATATATATACAGAAAACTTCATAGCAAAAGTAAGTTGATAAACACCTAAGCAGTAATAAACCAACTCGGTTGTTTCAAACATGACGAGGCAATTTTCACCACTGATCAACAGTGACAAGCATTTTCATTTCGTTAACTTATCCGGAAAAACAAAAGTTTAATGAACGTGAATAAAACCCTAAAAGATAACCTTTAATCAAATTATTAATTTCATTCGCTGTAATGGAAAATCCTCCTCTTTACAGTAATACTAAAATAAAAAAGAAGAAAATATGCGTTCAGTAGACAGTAACGATCCTACAGCTAAGCAACGTAACATGTATATAACGCTTAGGTAAATCTAAGCGCTAAAATACTTATGTTAATGTACTAAAAGGTTACCAAGTGAAATTTTATGTCTTTACATTTTCTGATTGCCTCAAGTACCCATCTTGATGCCACTTAGACATAAGATGTTAGAGATATATGAAACAATTGGTCTTCCTGATGTCATTCCTGTTTGTTACAGACAATATCTGTCATAAACGTTTTCCTGGTGTCATTATTGTTTGTTACAGACAACAGCTGTCACACACGTTCTTCCTAATGTTTGTTACAGACAATAGTTGTCACACACGTTCTTCCTAATGTTTGTTACAGACAGTAAATGTCACACACATTCTTCTTGATGTCATTATTGTTTGTCACAGACAACAGCTGTCAAACGTTCTTCCTGGTGTCATTATTGTTTGCTATAGACAACAGCTGTCACACACGTTCTTCCTGATGTTTGTTACAGACAATAGTTGTCAAACACGTTCTTCCTGTTGTTATTATTGTTTGTTACAGACAACAGCTGTCACACACGTTCTTCCTGGTGTTATTATTGTTTGTTACAGACAACAGCTGTCACACACGTTC